AATTAATATTATTATTAATATTATTAATATTAAATAATAATAATAAATATAATAATAATAATAATAATTATTATTATTATAATAAGATTCCCATGATTTTGAGATTCTTAGAAATTTGAATAACACCATGTTGGGTGGTATTCAAATTACTTTAAAATGAGGGAAAGTGAATCCCATGGTAATCATTTTGCTGGGAATCTAAATATTATAATTCTTGTACCAAACATGGTAATATTGTAGATTCTCATTCTCATCCTTAAGATTACTGCATACCAAACGTCCCCTAAAACTATATTATCCTAGCCTGGCACCAAACAGGATTGTAAATAACTTTGTAAGTTTGATCCGAAGTTGACTAGTTATAACTATTACATATTAAATGTAAAATACTCAAATCCTATATCATTATAATATAAACATAATCGAAGTTTTATAAGGATATTAGGCCACCACACTCAAACAGGTTAACCTGTTTAAGCGGGGTGGCCGAATATGAATCCAATTATAGTAGCTTCTCCAATGAGGTTCCTCGTATTTTATCCATATAATTTTGATTTGGGTGACACCCTATTTTTTACTCTCTTTTTTAATGTTACTAAAATAACTATTAATAAAATTATTTTTAAGGACAATAAAATTTTAAGAAAATACTCATTACACACCCATCATTAAAAAAAAAAAAATCTCATTTTCCTTTCCCTGAAATCTGGAAAAATTCCAACTAAAACAAATTTCTAACTCAAATGTCGTTTTTCATACGCATTGCTCGAATATAATTCTTGTAATCTTATATCTAGGGGCTTAATTAACTTATACTGTACTATATTACGGTGAGATCATGATTTGACCTGGCTTGTTGTATACTAACAACGAATGTTTCCTTTGAAAAACTTCCACAAAAAATAATTTACTACTTCAAGTAGTCGTCCGAATTAGTACTTCATAAATTAGTTGTTACTTCAGCCAATTCAAGGTGATTTCTATTGGAAAACATTTGATGTAGAAACTCCCTTAAAAATAGAATAATCTAAAATGGTTAATCTTTCATCCGAATTACTATATGTTATCATTATATGCAGATTTTATATAAATTACTGTGTTCATCTTCTCCTTTAATTTTTATTTTATTTGCATCTTTTACACCTTTTCGTTGAATCGGGTATTTGGTAAAACTAATGATCCTATATTGTGGAAAAAAAAAGGATATGTTTGATTGGTGAGTGGGTGAAAAAAGGAAAACCAACACATTTTAATTATAGCGACTTTTTTAAAATTTTAAAAAGAATGTAACAAGTAAAATGCGGAGTAGTTTAAAAATTAGTATATATAAAGTAGATGAAGGGTGTCTATTAATAGACGCACCCTTTTGATTTTAGTGATTACTTTGAATATGAAATGCTCAATTATCCTTGCCCAATTTAATTAGGCAAATAATTGGGAGAATTCATGGGTGAGATCAAATACGTCGCACCATTTATCATGACACTTGTATTGCTCAAATCAAGATGCAATTCTAATAACATTTTGACCTGATAGAACTTCCATCAATACCACTATTTTCGTCATTGGTTTCAATTTGACGTTTGATGCGTGCTTTTTTACTTTCTCGTATATCCGTCTGTGATGTGATTGTCGAAGCCACTATTTACAGTAAACGCAAATTGTCTTTCCAAAAGGGTCACTGCAGCTCTTGGCAATTACAGAGCAAAAGGTAGGAAGCGCAATACAAGAAGTGCTTTAGTAATATTGTAACTCAACAAAAGATCAACTGCTACAAAAGAAATCGAATTTCACACGAGGCGTGGAATAAGCCGTGGAAAGTATCTTTGAGGCCACGACGGAATTTGCAGCCTCTGTGTAATGAATTCCATCCCAGCTTACGAACCTCGATCCCTCATCGCAAACTTGGTAGCCGGGTTGACCACATGTGAAATGGATGTTGTAATTGTATGGAGGACCACCATAACCACAGCATGCCATTAGAGGACTTGAAAAACCTGCCAAATATTTTTGATGAATTCGTATGATATTTTGTTAAAGGTAAAACTTTGATGTATGGCTTGGGGGTAGTAGGCTCAATAATTACCATATTTGGTATGGTTGGCAATAAGGTCATACTTGATGGAGAAAATGTCCACATAAACTATTTTTGCATCCTTCATTTCAGATCTCATTTTTAGGCTTACACGGCGTAGTTCTTCATTAAATAACTTTGCTGCATCATTGTAACTTGAAATACATCCATATTGATCTAGGTCCTTTTTAACTAATGAAAGCTTTTGAGGAAGACAACCTAGTGGCCCTGTATTGTGCAGCCAAAAGTTCCTACCACCCTGATCATACAAAGCCTGCATTTGATACGGTAAGATTTAGGGAATTGGAAAATAACGTTACGACTTTTCCATCGATGAATAGTAATATATATATATATATATATACACAATTACACGTGGTATTTGAACTTAAATATAATAATTTTCTTATTTTTGGAAACAAGGGACAAGCTAACTTTTAAATATTTACAGATAAACAAAAGCTATTTAAAATTAAATCATTCACTATCCCCATAAATATAAAGTGTGGCCTTAGTTTTAGTTGGAGGTCATATTAATTCACCAACAGAGACAAAAAGGTTCCAGCAAAAATATTGATGAATGAAACTCTACGCAATTACTTTGCTCACCTTAACCGCCGCCTTGATTTCTATGGTTATCAATGGAATTCTCTTCAAAACTTGTACAGACGACATGTTTTTAGCAAATGAATCCGCAATGTCGTTTTGTCCAATATCAATAATGTAAAGTGCATTCCCAAACCCGTCATCATTGATCAGATTTTGTTCCGAACCTAAAACAAAATTTAGCATCACAAGATCAGTTCACCTACACAAGATTATGTTCTATTTTAATTATCTGTGTAAAGTGGGTGTCATTGTATCAGTACATTCTCAATTGTCGTTGTCATCCAATAAAGCACAAAAGAAACTCAAAACTGCATGGTGCTTTAAACGGCTGTAATTGAAAAAAGGAATTCTACTACTGCATGTAGGATAATTGAGTGCAACCATAAATTTAAATTGGACAGCGCATATAATATGAAATCATATAATCTTTCGGGCAACATCATCAACTGTGTTCTATGAGCGCAGTTTGATTTAACTCATAATAACCATATGAATGCGCAGTTAAATTACGCACAAAAAAAAAAAAGAAAAAAAGAAAAGAGTAAACAAATTCCACCTAGCATCGATTACTGTCCTTTTTATTTAAAAAAAATTCTGTTCAAATTTGTGAACACAAAACGTATACTAAATTATTAATTACCTGCTGTAAAAAGTTCAAGAGTGCGAGATTTGAAGTGGAGGAATTGCATGACCTGAATATTTAAAGAAAATGGTACATACTTTGGTAAGGTTGAGGACCCCACCACCGCAAAATTAGCCCCACTAGTGAACTTGGTCCCTGCCAAAGAGTCTAGGTATGGACTCAAAAGACTGGTATTCAAACTTTGGCCTGCAATGTTTATATAATAATAAGGATCAAATACAACAGCATAAATCAAATCGTCATTATATACTATTAGGGCACAGCAACTTTGGATCCCACTACAAGATAACCTGTCAGAGCATTGAAATATAGCAATAAAATGAAATTGATTTGAGGACACACTTGCGCTGCCATAACTCATAACACAGATCGTCACTCACGCTAACTAACACATACCACCATAGATCAATTCCTAACCATTTTCCTCTATTTCTTCCTCTCTCTCTCTCTCTCTCTCTTTTTCCTCCACGTTGAATTAATTTACGGATGAAGTTTATTTTTGCTCAACCCATAAATACCGTTCTTTTAAGCGTTAGATTAACTTTTTAACAGTCAGATTTATATTTTTATTTTTTAATGCGAACACTCACAAAACAGATCCTTAAAAATTAAGAATAAAAAATGCAGTTTATACATTAAGATTTAGAAGTGGAATAAGATTTTTTTTTTCTTTCTGATAATAAATTGAGAATTATTGATGTCATTTTCCGTTCCTTTCGTCCTAGTAGATAAAACCTCTGTTTGATTCAACCATCCAAGTTGTTGTTTAGTATTCAAATCGTAGTTCAAAATTTAAATTAATGTTTAGTAGAGAATAATTTAAGGACAATTCAAACCATTAACAATGGTTCAAACTCTTAGAGTGCATTTGGTTCAAAAATTCGTGTCATGATTCGAATTATGATTCGTGACTCACTACAATATTTTCTCTCACAAAAAACACCGTAAATCGAGAATGATTCTGAATCCATCAATCAAACGTCCTCTTAAATTTTAGTATTCACCGCCCCTTAAATTCTAACAATCAGAATTGCTTTTTACAGAAAAAAATGATTTTATGTTTTTCTCTCTTCAATTTCAAACTTAAAAACATCATAACTTATTCGTTTTAATTCTGTTTGAGATGTAATTTTTTTAATGTGTTCATAGTAAAGAGAAGAATAAATTCTCATCCATATTGTATATTTTTTAATGTCATTTACAATGAGATTTTATAATATTTGTTATAAAATTTTAATGACACTTTTCAGTACTTCAGAGACGTTTAGTTCATGGATTAGAATCATGAGATTAGAATTATTTTTGATTTACGTGTATTTTTTGTGAGAGAAAACACTATAATAAATCACGAACTATAATTCAAATCAAGATATAAATCTCCCAACCAAATAATAATCTAAACATAATTCAAATTTTATCTTTAATATAAATTATAATTTATTTATATATCTAAATACCGATTTAAATTATAATTTAATACACCGTAACTTAAACTACAATTTAAATCCTAAAAACATCTAAATCACTGCACCACTCTACCAGTATAGGGTGGTAGGTGCAATATCATTTTCTCACAACTGGAAGGGTACAAAAAACGACGCAGGAGAACAGGACGCTAATAATAACTGTGGAGATGGGCAAAAAATCTAGGCAGAGTGAAAACACCGAGGCGCTGGGACCTACTTTTATTGATGACTAGATCCCGAGAAATGAGGACAAACTCCATGTCAGATGGGACCCATAAAATGCACTCAAACGACTTCATTTTTCCTCCAAACGACACACATTTTTATTTGAAACGAAAAAAGAAAAAAGCAGAAAACGAAAAGCACGGTCGCGTGTGCCGACACAGATTGGCTGAAAAAACGATGGGGGTTTCTTCAAATATTTAATTTAAAATTTTAAAAAAATTAAATCTTATTCACTTTGTTGATTCGAGTTTATAATTTAAATTGAGATATAATTTTATATGAAAATTTTTTATTGTAATAAAAAAATTAAATATAATTATTTTTAAGAATTTTTTATTATAATAAAACTCAAATTTTAAACTTAAATTATTATTTTTAAGAGTTTTTTATTATAATAAAACTTAAATTTTAAACTCAAATCAATGAAATAAACAGACCTTTAAAAAAAAAAAGTTTAGAAAGAAAAAAGAGAAAAGGAAAAATATGGGTAAATACTATTTGGCAGGTGGTTTTAGAGTGTACTTACAGAGAAAGTCGATGGTGAGGCGTCCGTCGGACAAACGGCCGGTGGAGCGGCGGAAGAAAGAGCGGCCGTTTGGGAGGTTGACTGGGAAGCCGAGTCCGGCGACGAGTCCACCCGTGTCGGAGTTGGAATCGCCGAAGTTGAAGATGATTGGTCTGTTCTTGCACTGCGACACCACTGGGTGAGCCATCAAAAGAAGAAGAAGCAATGGCGAGAGAGTTAGAGCGAGAAAGTGAGGGAAAGAAGCCATGAGAGAGAGAGAGAGAGAGAGAGATAATATAGGTAGTGTGTTTGTGAGAGAGTAAGACAGTTGGCCAGTGGAATATGTGTGTATAATAAAATCTTTCTTTTTGTGCGTTATTTTCGCTCTTGTTATATGTTCCTTTTATAAAAGATTGCGTATCTGTCTATTGATCCAGCGTTTTTTTTATTTACTTTTTTATACTTGCATTTTAAATTTAGGGAAATTCAAAAAGTATATTCTTGATTTTTGGCTGCTACAAATGTATACTCTCACATTATTAAAACATTATATTTAATAAGTAAATCTGTACTTTTTTCACGGTCAACATTTAATTTTAACTTTTAAAATTGTCAAATTAATTTTATTGGTGGTGACCTTTGGTTTTTGATTGTTACAAACATATATACAATTAGGTCATTCCACGGAGATTAATTTGGTAATTTCACCGGTTAAAATCAAGTGTTGACAGCCAAAAGGTACAAATTTATTTATTAAACATAATTTGAGGGTATATATTTGTAGCAATTAAAAATTCAGGGTATATTTTTTAAATAAATCTAAAACATTGAGTATAAAAAGGTAAAAGACCCTTTCTTTTTTCCTTTTTTTATTTAGCTTTTTTTAGTAATATATATATTTTTTACCATCTTTAACTAACTTATATAATGAGAGGAAACTTTGTGATTATTCCATGTATTTTATTGAAACATCATTTCTACCTTATTGATATATCATTTTTACTTTTTTTTTTTTATTGTACAAATCGAAAAGAGTAGAAAAAATTTGATGGATTAACTCACGTATTCTTTTTACTCCTGTTGAAACCTTTTAAAAACTTGTTTAAGGAAAAAAATTTTGGATATCAAGGTAGCATACCCTCATATAATTTACATACGAATGGTGTTTATAACAATGCAGACTGCTCTCAACAACATTCGCTAAATCCTTATTTTTTAAGAAGAACAAGGAAAACAAACTGCTACATTATATGTGATGGGCCAAACTGCTTTTAATAGTATATTTTTACTTATTTATTTTGGTTAGATTTAATGTTCTTAGGCGCTTAAGTCTAGTTTCAATCTTACATTTCAAACTTAGATGGGTCTGAAAACTTAAGTATGATAGACCAAAAAATATATAAGATATACATACATATATATATATATATATATATATATATATGAAACAAAGCTTTTACTTTTATGTGATACAATTTGAGGAATTGTCTGGTACCCAGACTAATCAGCACGTATAACTTTATTGTATGTTCATATAATATCGTTCATATATGTGTGATACTCTTTTGATTTTAAAGTAATATTTAAATCACCTTTAAAAAAAAAAAAAAAATTGATGTTTCTTTTATCGGTGACACAGTAGACTATACTAGTAATACGAGAGCAGTTGACACTTCTGGTAACCCGACAGACTCCCTTCACCAGCATGGCGGTTATGCAACTTTGCCGATCAAAATATTGTCACTACTTATCTTGCTCGTGTTCAATTATCTTGTGATTAAAGGAAAAGAATGTACAGCTCAATATAGCTTTTTTTTTTTTTTTATTATTATTATTTTTTTGGGTGCTGGATGTGGCAAAGGAAAAGTTGGTGATGATGAATTGTTGCCAGAGAGCTCCAGGCATGTTAAAATTAATTTGTTTCTTAACCAATAACGCTACATTTCATAGATATCAATGAGATCCCACATCTTACAAATAAATAAGATATCATGTTTCCAAGAAAGAGCATTCCTTGATGAAACATGAGAAGCAAGCTGGCTAACGGCATAAATTGTGAAAGACCATTTTATTCATGTGTTACGTTCCTCACATCACCTAGAGGCTTGAAATGAAGGGGTCTCAGGTGATAAATTCACGGATGACTCTTTTCCCAATGCAAAATGGATATATATATATATATATATATGTGTGTGTGTGTATATAAATATATGTATGTATATAAGTGTGGTTTTAATATGGTTACTCTCATAGTCATTAATAAGTATAATTGTTTTAACCATAAAATATTTTTAATCTGATAGTTATAATAAATTAGATAGTTAACAAAAAAAAATAATAATTACAATTAATGAGATTTTAACTTTTTATATTTAGGCCCCATTCAATTTACCGATTCGAGTTTAGAATTTGAGTTTTACTACAGTAAAAAATTCTCAGAAACAGTCACATATAACTTTTTGGCTACAGTAAAAAGCTCTCACATAAAATCACATCTCACTTCGAATTACAAACTCGAATCATCGAAGTAAACGGAATGTAACCATTGAAAACCTATAGATATTTATATAAATTTTGGGGTTTTGCTTCTTTACACCAAAAACCATCATATACAACTCATTGCATCCAATAGAATTTTAGTGCGGTTTTGGACCCACATAAAAATCAGTGGGACCCACTTTCTTGTTTAGTTGCTGACGTGGAGTAATGCAATTTGGTTGCTTTAAGACTCTCTAAAACAAATTGCCATAAGACAAAACTGAAAGCACCTTTAGTGTTGTAGTGGCAATCGGTTTTGGCCTTTTGCCCATGCAAGAGCACAAGTGTTACAAGAAATTTATCATTATTAAATTTAGCCTTTCCGATATGGGGTTTCTTCTCCCTTTTTTAATGCAGGATTCGCTTTAACTTTCTGTTGAGCATCCGTGTCTATATATGTATTCCCTTCTCATTTCTCATTCCTTAGTCCTTTCCTAATACATCTTCTCTCTAAAAGAGTATCTCTTTTTTCCTTCTTTTTTCTAATTCCTTTTTTTCTTTCTTGGCTATATATCTAGCAAAAAGGTATATAGCACTTGAAAGAAAAATATAGCAAAATATGGCAATTAGAAACACCAAGGTTGGTGACTGTGTGCCGTTCTTGGTGATGGTGTTTGTGCAAGTTTGCTATGCTGGTATGAATATTACGTCCAAGGTTGCATTGGAATCAGGCATGAACCCTTTGGTTCTTGTTGCTTACAGGCAAATATTTGCGACCATGGCCATCGGTCCCTTTAGTTATATAATGGAATGGTATGTTTCAATCCGCAACTTTATGCTCAAGAACATGTACTTTAGTTACCTTTTTTCTCGAGTACATGCATTTGTTTAATTATTAGATATTTCGAGTTTGGCATGTTTTTGTAATTCCTCAAATACTACTAGAATGTATGACATTTTGTTGTTTGTATTTGTATTTGTTTTTGTTTATTTTTTTTAAATTTCATTAACGTAAATTAATGATCCGTTTAGTTCATAAATTTCAACATAAAGTTTAAATAGAAATTCAAATTTTTATGAAAAGAACAAACACCGTAGTAAAAGGTTTTAAACCATGATTCAAACTGTGAACTTATAAACGTTAGTTAAGTTTCTTGTTTATGTCCGAAGACGTAAGACAATGATATTTCATACAAAAAGGCATAGTTTTCACTAGGGTTTTTACCGAGTTGGTTATAACAAGCCGAGTGGTAGTACATGTAATATGATCGTCATGTTTGCTTTGAAGACACAGTCCATGATTTCTGTTTAATTAGTTGAGAATACTACATTATATGGATTACTTGTTGTGTTTGCTTTGAAGTTTAAGAGAACACAAGTTATTCATGATTTCAGATTAGAACGGAAGATTTTTCTTCTCTCGCTAAAATGGGAGCGGAGCCATTTGGTTTTCCACCACTATATTTAACAAATTGATAATAAGAAAAGAAAAATGCGCTTTCCTCCTGTGGTTTTGTTCATTAATTAACGGCTAAATTGATGTTGACGGGTCTTCCATTTTCCATTCTTGAAATGGGAATAATGCGTATTGTTTTTCTTCGAATGTACGGAAAAAACTTATTATATCCACTTATATTTCAATTAATATCTTGCTGAAAGCTGAAATAAAGCAGGAAACTAAGCAGATCATCTAGCCTAGCTACATACATAGTTGCATCTTAATATGAGAAGATCTAACAAGACAAGCACTAATTTTCTATCCCAAAAAAAAAAAAAAAGAAAAAAAAAAAAAGAAAGAAGACAGGCACTAATTGTAGAGCTAGCAACGTGAGACATGTGGAACAACCTAAATTAATATTTCAGTTTTGGTTTTGAAGTCTAAAATCAGACTCGTCATTATTTCCCCTCGTTTTACACACATACATTGAAAAATACAGTTAGAAACCTGAAACGTAATTAATTAGAGCTTCCAGCTAGGGAAAGGTCGAAAGCCTGAATAGAGCCCTGCAGCTCAAGATCATTTAAAGCTGATTTCCCATACGTATAATATTATATTAAGAAGAAATTATAGTACACCCTAAATTTGGGGACGTCGTGCGATTAAATCTGAATTACTAAATAATAAAATAAATAAATATAAATTGTTAAAATGTTTGAAGATTTTTTAAATTGGAAACCATTGAAATTGTTTCTTATTTATCATGTGTGTGTGTGTGTAAATTACTAAAATGGCATGCCGTGCATGTGAACTTTTTGCTGTCTTTGTGCCGTAATGTAACGTACCAAAACGTTTGTCTAAAGGAGAAGCCACTGGGTGTGCATGTCATAGGTATATGCGCTTTGTCATTTTCCTCTTAATTTGCTAGTGTTAAGTTCAAGCTTTTCATGACTGCTTTGTATCTCCATGATAGTGACGGTAATTAATAGTAAAATCAAATTTCAAAAATATTTTTTTCACCACAAACACATTCTTTTCTTTTTTGGCAGGAAAACGATGCCAAAGATCACGTTTCCTATTCTTTTCCAAATTTTCTTGTGTTCGTTGACCGGGTAAGCTTCAATCTCCATATCTGATATCTCATTACATGATCGCATTGATATCTCATTACATGCCTCATCACTTTGTGTATGATGGGGTTGTGGCCTGTTAGAGCTAAACATCGTTTTTCAAAATTAACATATCAACTTGAGCTTTTTTTTTTTTTTTTTTTTTTTTTTTTTTTGCATGTGTGGTAAGTAACATATCAACTTATGGTTAAAGCTCATGATTTGGGGAAAAAACAAAAAAAAAAATTCAGGGCAGTCGCAAACCAGGTGTTTTACTTCCTGGGATTGAAATACTCCAGCGCAATAATTGCAAGTGCGCTATCAAATATCCTTCCAGCAGTCACATTTCTCCTAGCAGTTATTTTCAGGTATAATCAAATTAAACTATATAACCTTCTTATGTCAATTGTAATAATTGTAACATGTTGTATAATTTGGTTAATTAATTATGTACTCACAGACAAGAATCAGCAGAAATAAGGAAGAAATCGGGGATTGCTAAGATAGTGGGGACAATTTTATGTGTGGGTGGGGCCATGATGTTGTCTTTCTACCAGGGAAAGGTAATTGGTTTGGGTGAGCCAAACATGAATTGGTCATATCTTCAGAAAGTTAGAGAAAGTACCACTTCCAATACCGTCAACTCTAATCCCCTCTTAGGCCCTATTTTCATCATCTTAAGTACAGTTGGTTGGGCAGCCTGGTTCATTATCCAAGTAAGTAAAACACCAATATTTCTATTGACTTAATTAGTTAAAAATCTAGAGGTAGTCGTTTTCGTTAAAATTTAGCATATTTTTAAAGCATATACTTTCTATTCTCTGGGAACTTTTGCTTGACATTTTGGTATTTCCCATTATATATATATATATATATATATATACACATGATTTTTGTTGGGATTGTGATATAACCATTTTTCAGGCGGGTATGAGTGAAAAGTTTCCAGCTCCTTACACAAGCACCACATTGATGTGTTTTATGGCCACCGTAGAGTGTGGGGCCATTGGCTTTGTCCTCGAGCACAAAATCTCTGCATGGTCATTGCGGAATGACACAAGGCTTGTTGCTTCTCTTTACGCCGTAATTCTTCCATCCAAATTAAACAACGACAAAAGATTAATTATTACATTTTAGGAAGCGTTATCTTTGTTGATTTCTTTCTTTAAAAAAATTAATACTTCAAAGGCGCATAATCTCTTGTTATCTTTGTTGATTTCTTTTTTTTTTTTTTTTTTTTTAAAAATTGATACTTCAAAGACCGGATTAACAGGTGATTACCGATCATCTTTATTAAGAAGAAAAAAAGTAATTTTCTTATTATCTTATTGGTATTTTTTTTTTTTTTGGGGTGAATTGAGTGACATCGATGTTAAGTTTATGCCATTAGGTCACATTCATATTAAAATGACATTTTGAGTGGGATTTTTATATTTCTTCTCTCTTTTTTTTTAATGCTGATTATGAGTAATTTTCAGGGAATAATGGGTTCAGCAATAGCATTTTTTCTCACTTCATGGAGTATACAGAGGAAAGGCCCTCTCTATGTGTCAGTGTTCAGCCCATTGTTGCTCATTATTGTGGCTATTCTTAGTTGGGCGCTGCTTAAGGAAAAAATATACATTGGAACGTGAGTTATATCATATAATTCCTCTACTTTGACTGCTTAATTATAAGCTAAATTTATATGTTCATTCTCATTGTTAATTGAGAATACATAATCAAACCTTGAGCTAGAAAATTTTTCACCAGAAGTACTACAAAAAAAAAAAAAAAGAAAGAAATAGATTGAATAGGAACATATGTGTTTCAATTATTAAGTGGAAATACAAGTATAATTTTTCTTATAAAGTAGGAGTATAACTCTAGTTTTAGGAAAACATTAAGAATTAAAATCAAAATTTTCAAATGTTAGTGGAGACACATCAATAATACGCGACTCCGCGGCTGTTTGTCTCACATTTTATTTTATTATATATGTAATAGTTTGTTGAATACCAAAATGCACCCAAAACGAGCCACATGATCAAGATTAGAGAAAAGATGTGCTTACATTGATAAATTTTAATTGTGATGCTCCATGAACTAACTATATAGTACATAATATAATGTATATGTGTGGTTTTGATGTAGTGTTCTAGGATCTACTTTCATCATTGCGGGTCTCTATGCTGTTTTGTGGGGAAAGGGTAAGGAGATGGAACGAATACAAGAGATCATGACCATTGCAGAAGATGCAATAAAAGCATCAAAGGCAAATCATGATAAGATAAACGAGGACTTGGAATTACAGATACAGATGAAACCTTATGTACAGTACTGCTCAAATGGTTGCAACCATATTGATGAAGAAGCTATTTAATTTGAACATACAAAAAAAATATATATATTGCAATATTGTTCTCCGAGTAACTTATTATGCATTGTGTCACGCTTCATTTCAATGTATGGTTTACAATAATAAGATCCATTTCCGACATGTAATATCTGATCTCTCTCACCCTTTTTCTGAGTTAATGTAATATCTCTTCTATTGTGGGTCGTCAACATACATATAAAACAAAGACATATATTACAATGATTTAGTTTAGTAGTGCTATAGATTTTAAAAAAATTAATTTTAGTTGTGCTGAAGGAAGAAGCAGTTATTACAAAAAGTAGTTGAGTGTTTGGTAAACTATAATTATAATAGCTGTGCTGGTTCCAAAATCAGTATAATAACGTTTGGTAAATTATGAGATTGAATTGCTATGAATAGTTAAAAATTACGACTATATTATATTATACTATAATATATATATATAATTTCAATATAATATATATTTATTATTATATAAAATATAATAAAATTATTAAAATAATAACTAAAATAATTAAAAATAACTGTTATATTATAATATAATATATATAATTACAATATAATGTATATTTATTATTATATTTAGTATAATACAATAAAACTATTATTAAATAACATATTATATAACTATGATATAGAATATAATAATATTATTAAAATGGTCAATATAATTACAATATTATAAAACATATTATAATATTACATAAGAAATATTAATATTTAAGTTATAATATAATTAAAAATTACAACTATATTATATTATATACTCATCATTATATTATATTAAACAAATATATTATAATTAATATATTATATAACTATAACGTGTAATACACTATAATATATAACAATATTAGAATTATAAGATTATATTAATATTTATTTATATTAATTATTATTATATTATATTATAATATCATATTATATGATAAAATAATAATATTAGAGTTATTAATATAATTATGATATTTTTTTGTTACAATATTACTATTATATTATATTACGATTTTAAATTTTAGATTGGGAAGATTGTAAATTTTAAATTTCATTAGGGTTATTATAGGTATTATGAAAGTTTCATTAATTATACTATGTTGATTCCCGTATAATCTAAAAGCTAAAATTGTCTTTAGGCTGCTTCTAATTTTGGTTATAGATTCTTAAAAAATTCTTTAAAAAACACTTTTGAAGAGATTTACTAAATACTAAAATCAGTTTTGCTATAAGCAGAAGCCGATTTTAGGAGGGAAAAGCAATACCAAACAAAGCCAATGTCTAATTAGTTGACATGCTTTTGTTTTTGTTTTTTTTTTCCGCGAAGCAACAGAACCAATACTCTAGGTTCCTTTGCTAATGAATTAATTATTACTATATATCTCTGAACAGTACTACAAAAGTACTATTAACTACAATTAAATGGTAATAATACATACTTATATATACGTCACTAGTACAGGGGAAAAAAAAAAGAAACCATTTACATGAGTTTGGAAAACTACTAAAGAAGGGAGTAGTACTTCAAAACAATGAAAAACCAATAATTTAGTATAATTAATAAATTAAAAAGTAAGTAAGTCATGATAACACAAAGTGGAAAATAAGGAACAGGGAAAAAAAAAAATTATTCGGTACGGTGATCCGGAGGCGCTAATAATTAGGATATACAACCCAAAATCGTGCTCAACGATTTTTTCCTGTAATTTTTAATAAGAAAATCTATATTAGATATTATTAGTATGTAAACTTATAAATTAACAATAAAATAAATCGAATTTTTTTTTCAAACTATAGATAAAATATGAAGTAGGAAAACTAAGTAAACAAACGACAATGCACTAAAAAGACAGGAATAAAAAGGGTACTAATAAGGTAAACGGGAATACATGCACAGAAAACGACATGAAAAGGAGAAAAACGCTATAATTTTGAAAAATGACAGCTAAATACACAAACGACAAAAGTCTAATTAAACGACATCCGAGAAAACAAAAGTAACATGTAGATTAACCAATCAGAACAAACTAATTAAAAATAACTTGCATGATCTCTTCACGGCGGTTCACAAATCTATCATAATTTTTACAACTTCAATGTTCGAAATTTGGAAGTTCAACTTCAATGTTCGAAATTTGGAAGTTTCAACATAAAATTCATAGATCATGTTATTACTTTAAAATTCATAAATTTATTATAACTTACATAACTCCAACATTCGAAGTTTACAAGTTCCAACATAAAATTTATAGGTTATGATACTTCCGGCACGGTGTCGAGAATTTTTCTCCCGGCATCATAAAAGTTCCCAATCATTAGTTCGGTTTGATTTGATTCAATCTCGCGATTCTATCTTTTTTTTTTTCCTTAACATTCCTAGTCGACGTCCTAGAATGAAACAAGCACCATAACAAATCTCTCTAGATTCAGCAAGGAGACTATGCTGTGTTTGGAATTGATTCGTTTTTATTTTTCATGTTTTTCGAGAAAGAAAAAATGAAAACGTTTCTAAAACGACGTTTGGCGTAATAAAGACAAAAAACGGAAATGAAAACGATTTTTTAGTTTAGTGTAAATGAGAGAGAAATGAAAAATGACTTTAGTCGTTTTTCATTTTTTATTTTCGTTTTCTCCTCTCTCGAGCAGAGAGAGAGAAAGAGAGACATTAATGGAGTTTTTTATACTGAAAATAATATATTGATAAAACTACCAAACGCATTTTAAAAAATAATTTATGTTTAAGATTAATAACGATTTTATTTTTATTTTTATACAAAAAAATAAAATCATTTTAGAACAAATTCTATATCACGTATTCACGTTCTTATTTAGCCACCTCTAAGAAAATAAGGGCTGGCTTTACCCACACATTTTTTATGTGTGGGTAGCCGATAAAAAAAAAATGTGTGGGTAAGGACAGTACATTGAAGATAACTATTAGCCACATAGTATATATTCGTGGTAATACAAATTACCTACACATTTAGTGGCGCCTTTAAGATCATGTTTGGTAAATGGGGTTCAAACTTTGGTTCAAATAGTTCTCCTATCTCAAAAATATTTATACTCCGTTTGTTTCGAAGGTTCTGATCTGGTTCTGGATCATGGTTCTTAGTACGTTACAGTATTTTTTTCTCACAAAAAATTTAAATTTTAAAAATTAGAATTATAAATTATAATTTTGAACCTATAAATCAAACGTCACCTTAAATTAGTTTAAACTATTTGATTTGAACCCATGAAACAAACGGGCCTTTAATGAGGATGGAAATTTTTCGGGTGATTGTCCAAAGTGGCTTATGATGTGGCATGGGTGTTCGTGGTATAATTTTTTTTTGACCATGATAAGATCACTTTTGACCTTTTTATCATACAAATACCTTACATATCCTCTAGATTACTTATAAAAATAGCCATAACATACCCCAAAGCGAATAAATTTTTAACAATTTTAATATTACCCTTTTTAATATATATGAAATATGATATTTAAAACATTATAAATCAACTAAATATTAAATATAATATATCTTAAAACTTAAAAACTGTGTTTAAAAAATGACCGATAGTAAAAATAGGTTTTGGACGAGCTTGTCTTCTTTCACAGTGTCTTTGTGGATTGCAATTTTTGTTGGGGTGCGTATTGGTTGAGCATGAAAGCCTAAATGTAGCAATTTTGCTAGTAGGGATATGGTCAAATGTTTTGTTTACAAAAACAATAAATTTCTTCTTTTTTCTCTTCTTCTTAAGTGAAGGGTAACCTCATACAACCGAAGATCTGGCTGAAGGGACCTTGCGACGGTGGCCTTGCGTGAGGATGGTCTTGCAATGATAGATCTTGGCATGAAAGGGGTTGGCGACATCGATTATTTTTCCTTTTCTTTTATTTTGAGAGTTTTTTAAGTTTTAATATATAGTAATTTATTTAATTTCTTAGTTCATTAATTTTAAATAGTATTCAATATAACTTTTATACAAAGTATTTAATATAGATTAAGAAAGATAGTCTTTATATTTCTTTTTAAAAGGTTAAAACATTCAAAGGGGTATTTTTTGATCAACTTACTAGTATAGAGGGCGCTTTGGGTACTTTTCTTTTTAAATTAGTTTATATATCTTATCTGATCTAGAACAAATAAGTTATGGTTTACTTTATAGGTTTGAATAAAATTTTAAATTATTTATTTATTTATTATTTTTTTAGAGGAAACACTATACTAAAAAAGTTTTGAACATCCGTTTGATAAATAGGTTTAAAAATTGGTTGTTTGAGTTTTATTTATAAAGTTTCAACATCATAAAGTTTCAAGGGTAACAATAATCATTAATACCAATAAGAGATAAATAACAACATAAGGAATTACACTTCCCACCACAACATGAAGGGGAAACAAAAAAAGTTAAGAAGTAAAAGGCAGACCAAATAATTGGAGACGAGGACAGGAACGTGCAAAATAAACACACAATACAAGCAATAGAGATAGTTGGTGCGTACATACATATACACATGTACGTATGTATGAATGAAATTAATTATGCGTAATAATTAATTGTAAGCAAAAAATTCTTTGGCTTCATACTTGGGAAAATTCTGTTGATCACCAATCCCAAGCACTTGTTGTACAGTAGAACCAGGGTCAACGGTTGCGAGGGGTTGAACTTTGGCGGCGCAAGCATTGTAATTAAGGAAACTTAAAACTACTAAACAGTCGGCCAAGTCGCGTGATGGCGGAGAATTGTGACGGCTGTCGACAAGATCGAAAGTAAAATCGATGAAACTAGATGGGTTCTTGATGACTGTTTGGCCAACAGCAACTCTCTTGGGGCCACACAACAAAGTGAAATATACTTGAGCGACCGATGACTGACTTCTGGGAGGCTGGTTGAAATTAGAGAACTGGGACTGTGCGCACTTTGATAAATCGCCAAAAACATGGACTTTGGCAATCGGATCATATTGATCAAGACGACTAGTACTTGTAGCACCAGTACTAGTCCCAGTACCAGTA